TCGTTGCTCTAACGTTAACTGCTAAGCAAATGTGCCTCATGACTCGAACCTCACACTCTCTTCCTAGGCACTACCATTTTAAGGAAGAAACAGTGCAACCTTCTGGCTTTTCTGTCGAACCACGTCACCACGCTAGATGACGTTCAACCTCGCCGCAAAAACCACCGGATGAGGAAACTCTGAGTTTGCTTGATCGTAATGCGAGCTAGCTTTTGCTATCAAGTTGTCGCATCGTCAACTCCGCTTACTCAGCGGCAACTCACCTTTACTCTACCCCAACATCCTACGAGTTCCTATTCTCCTTTTCATTCAAATGAATTGCTTAGAGCCATTAAACTCTTAGTCTGAACTCTCATCTGCCATGGCCTCATGTTTGGATGATAACCCAGAAAAAAAACTCTTTCTCATTGCCATGTCAACTACACAGCCCTACCGAAGGCAAGAAGACACAAGTAACGCAAACTTGCGATCGCAAGAAGAGAGTCTGGCTGGATCTGCTTTCCATTAAAGCTTCCAAGGCAAGACAGGTATGTCATTTTCATATCTACCTTACTCAAGTTACTTAAATCGACTTACCAAGTTTTGTTAACTTTAGCTAGAATTTAACGCTTGCTCTATTTATCTGTTAAGTTTTATAGGTAACTTGCTTACCTTCCAGGATGACTACTTCAACTTTCACATCCACTCACTGTACCTTTACTACTGATTTTGTAGATGAGCAACTTGAATTGAATCGCTCTCGGCATCCAGTAGCTAGCGCATTTCAGATTCAATTTGCAAAACCTTCTTTGGTAAGTTTTAACAAGGGATTAAATCTTGTTCAATTATTGTCTCGCTTTAATGATATCAAAGTCGTTATTGAGCTACGCAGTAGATATCTCCCGATCATCCAGTTTTCCCTTTCTATTTCAAAAATTTTTCTTTCTTTTCATTTCTGATATCTCCCATAAGGTATCGTATTTGCATCCACTTAGGATTGGTAAGATTTTAACATTAATTAAACTTTAACTTGTGCTCTCAAGCCTCTCTCGCAGACCCTGGATCAACCAACCTCCTGCGATTCGTCAACTGGGAAGCAGTTACCTACTACACCAGCCAAGGAAGCTACCACGGTTCTCTTTTTTTAAACCAACTCGTCATCTACCTCCAGCAGCAAGCAATTGGCAAGGTTCCGATGAATGGTCAAGAGGAAGTTACTGCTTATTGGGTAGTAGATATAGAGGTTTGTGCGGCTGTCCTTAGCAATTAGTATTGGGTCTGACCTTCACCAACTCTTCCACGGGCGTTACCACTGGAAGGACTTTGGACACGCTGCAAGGATGCAACCTACTCACCACCCTCATTGTAGATCGTCAGTTCTCATCCCATCTGAAACCACTCAGACAGACTGTTTTTCTTACTCTAGGTTTCGCATTAGCGGAACTCCTTGCGCACCAGTCAGACCATTAGACAAGAGGATAATGAAGATCAATGATATTAACCATTTATGAAACTTTCTGGGTAATTCAGACTTCCCTCCTGCTTTCCACACCACATTGATTCATCTCCTCTTGGAAATACTGGTCGGGCAAACAGACTATTGTTCCGAAGCAGCCCGTATGAGTATCTGGTTTAATAGCGCTCCAGGAGAATGAATGTCTTCTGTCATAGAGAACTCGGAGTTTGTCCTCCCCAAAGATCCTGAGACTGTAGACTCTGATTAGGTTCTTGTAGGATTGAGAAGCAGAAAATGACATGTTAAGAATACTCGTTTGAAAATGCTTTCTATAGCTAAGTAATGACACTTCGGGCATTGAGTAAGGTAGGAGCTTTGAAAGTAAGAGTCCCGGGTAGTTTTTGTCATGAGTCTGCAAATTTCCTCCTCATTTCTAACTTTGTCAAAGATACTTAAGCCACCGATGTAGTTCAGGCTTGGAACTCAAGTTTTAATTCCGCTCTTAAAGTTGATTTAAACTCTGCTTAGGAATTATGTTCTTAAGTTGAATGGATGTGCCCAATCCCAATCTCACTCCAGAGGATTTTAAGTTCTTACTTGGTTAAAGGATGACCCCATTATCCAATTTCATGCCACTAATGAGGATTTAAGCACTGCTTGCACTCTTTTTTTGCTTTTCCTTAATTGATCAGAATGTCAAATGAGAATAATAGTACCTCTTTTCTTTAATCCCCTCAACTCTACCAAGTTGTCATCCTTAAAATGACAACCATTTAATCACCAATTTTGCTACCTAAAAAAAAAAAAAAAGGGTATGAGCCACTCAGCCAAGGAAGGAATGAAATGATGTCTGTAACTCATTGTTGTTTTGATCGGTTGAATCTCTCAATTCCTACAGGACCAGACCATGGAACATATCATTTTCAATGCTCTCATGTCTTCCGGACCTAACGCTATAGTTGGTTGGAACATCTTCATGCCTTTGATGAACCCCTCCCCTGAGATAGTAGAGGGGAAGGTCTTGGAATGCCTCAATCCCCAAGAGAGAAGCCCTCAAAGATCCATTTTTCTCGTCAACCATAAAGGCAAGTTTTTTTCAACCCCTCCTCATCTTCTAAGGACCTCGGACCCTTTCTTTGTCCAAAATTCTTATTCATTGGTTCAACCGGGAACCTCTAGGCCAGTGTCAAGCGCAAGAACTTCGGCACTAGCTCTCCCAATCTCAACCATCACCACTCCGAAAAAATCTCTGATTTCAAGGGAGGAGGCTGATGAGAGAGAGTTCAAATTTATGGTTAATCAATCTGAACTCTCTAGGGTAAGGGAGATTTTATCCTCAGCCATCAGAGAAGTCTCTTAGTGTCAAGCGGCTGCCAATGAGATTAAGGCGCCTCAATTCATTTTTGACCAACCTCCTTGGTCAAGGCACCTCAACATCCTTATCAGAGTCAGGCAGATTGAGCTCAATTCTAAACACGGCGATAGAGGAAGGACGCACGCAAGTGCCTTTCAGAATGCACTAATCAATCTCCCCAAGAAGCTCTGCGACAAGAAATTCCCCCTAGAAGTGCAGTAGTTGCTTAAGTTACAGGAGTTAGCGACTTCTAGACTGGGAATGAACGATATCAATCAGGAATGGGACGATCAAGAGGTCAAAGCAGCCTCTTCGAGGGGGGGTAAGTTGCCCAAACGGTTTACGCTAGCCCCAACCGCTATTCATATAAGCAGTTTCTAATTTTAGACCTACTAATTTTATTAATAAGGTCTTCGGGGACAGTTATCCACTCCCCACACCCCTTGGTGGTGGTCTGAAATTTCACTTGGTCGACAAGACCGACAACTCAGGTACGTTTCTAACTATTATCCCTTTGCAGGTACTCGCTAGGTCAGGATTCGGCGAAGTTCAAATATAAGAGCCCCGCCAAGAAATCGTACCACAAGAGGAGCGACAACGACTCTTCGGACGATAAGCAGGAATGAAGTCGCAAGAAGAAATCTCACAAGCAATCCAGATACTAAATTGTGTACCCTCGTCACATCAACTTTCGATAGCTCTAGCCGCACTGGAAACGAATCTAGTTGGCTAAGATCGCCTGATGATTTTTCTGCAACATCTGTTGTCAACCACTTAGAGGCTTGGAAGTCACGCCTAGCATCTTCCAACTCAAAGTCTTCCTGGGATGTCCTCAATTGGCTAGTCAAGGGTGTGAAACTCAAGTTTGCTGGCACGGACCACAACCACCACACAAAGATTCAGGAGGTTAGGAGAATGGTTAAGCCAATTTTAAGAGCTTCGGACTTTTGAAGAGCTCTCAGGTTGCCTGAACCAACCCCCATCACAATCCCAAACTATGACCTACCCCCGTCGTTTGCTGAATTTGTGAACAGCAGTGTAATTTCCTTGTTCAACCAGGGTGTAATCTCTGTGACCGATACCCCTGTTGTTGCCAACCCCGTTTTTGTAATTGAGAGTTCAAGTACCCTCCTTCTCCCTCCTCACCCTCATCCCCTTGCCTGCCGTCCCAGGTGCAGAATGTTGCACGCTCTCCCCCTCCTTCCTCCTCACCCGGCTCCCCTCACCCACCGTCACAGCCTCCGCCAGAAACGCCACCTGCTCAACCCCCCCCCCNCAAGTCCCACTAGCAGCGTTGAGCTACCTCAACGCCTGAACGTGGACGCTTTTGCGGAGATGTGCAGATATCGTGCTGAGTTTTCTGAACTGCACGTCTCCCCAAACACGTCCAGTTTTAGGCGTTGAGACATCTCAACCCTGCTAGTGGGACTTGGCCCCGGGGGCGCCCGCTGAATCGGGCGCCTTTTTTTTTTTTTTTTTTTTTTTAACGCCCCAATCAGAGTTAGTGTTGCTGGTAAGAGCAGCGGGGGGCGAAACCTGAGTGGTCGCATACTCGAGAGGGACGCTGAGACAGAGCAGGTAGGCATTACGGGGTTGTGCCTGGTGTTGGGCCTGCCTGCTACCTGCTAGTGACAGAGAGAGGGGAATTTGGTAAGTACCGAGCGCATTCTCGGACAGGGAGGAAGAACGAGGAGAAGGGAGAAGTACATGCATGCACTGTTCCATCTATATAACCCCCTACGATTTCCGTTGTATCTGCTCATAGTGTTTCACTCTAGTGTCTCACTGTGTGTCGTGGAGTGGGTGTGTCAGAATTGCAAGGTTTGGATCGGTGGCATAGTAGGTGTTGCAGAGGGGGTAGGGATGTAGGGTAGTGTGTGGCAGGCAGAAGCTATCTTCAGGCAGCGTTGATATCCTTTATGGAACAAGGGGGAGGCTTCAGTTCCACCGCGGCTCATATTTAAACAAAAAAACCAAAAAAACAAAACAAAAAAACAAAACAAAGAAAAAAAACCGCAGCTCACATTCGGGGCTAGTGCTTGTGTGTTTGCTCTCTCTCTCTCTCTCTCTCTCTCTCTCTCTCTCTCTCTCTCTCTCTGTGTGTGTGTGTGTGTGTGCATACGTCCTCTCACTCCCTGACCCCCGGGGTTCCGTGCCGTTCTTTCTTTAATAGAAGAACATGATCTTGACCCTTACGCACGTTGCTCGCTCGCTCTCTGCGGCTGTTTTGGCGTCGTCACCAGTCCGGCAGGTGCGCGGACGAAGGTAGCCTCCAAAGAAGACAGGAAGATGGTGAAGGTTGGGATCAATGGCTTCGGCCGAATTGGAAGGCTTGTCCTGCGGGCGGCTCTGCTCAACCACCCCGGAATCGAGGTGGTCGCGGTGAACGACCCCTTCATCGACACCAAGTACATGGTGTATATGTTCAAATACGACTCCGTGCACGGTCAGTTCAAGGGCGAGATCTCGGCCAAGGATGAGAAAACTCTCGTCATCAATGGCAAGGATGTTGCCGTGTACGGGTCGAGAGACCCCGCGGCCATCCCCTGGTCGGAGACCGGGGTCGACATAGTTGTCGAGTCCACCGGAGTGTTCACCGACAAGGACAAGGCGGCGGCGCATCTCAAGGGCGGCGCCAAGAAGGTGATCATCTCCGCGCCGTCGAAAGACGCCCCCATGTTTGTTGTTGGCGTCAATGAAGATAAATACACGGATGACCTGACAATCGTCTCCAACGCCAGCTGCACGACCAACTGCCTCGCGCCGCTGGCCAAGGTCATTAACGACAACTTCGGCATCGTCGAGGGGTTGATGACCACTGTGCATTCGCTGACGGCGACGCAGAAGACCGTCGATGGGCCGTCTGGTAAGGACTGGAGAGGCGGACGCGGAGCAGGATTCAACATCATTCCAAGYTCGACGGGAGCAGCCAAGGCGGTGGGCAAGGTGCTTCCCGAGCTCAATGGAAAGYTGACGGGCATGGCTTTCCGTGTGCCAACGGCAGACGTGTCCGTTGTGGACTTGACTGTGAGACTGGCCAAGCCAGCGTCGTACGATGCCATCAAGAAGTGCGTCAAAGAGGCGTCAGAGGGATCACTCAAAGGAATTCTTGGGTACACCGAAGATGACATCGTATCCACCGATATCATCGGGGATTCTCACTCCAGCGTCTTCGATGCCAAGGCGGGAATTGCACTCAACGACAACTTTGTCAAGCTAGTCTCGTGGTACGATAACGAGTGGGGCTACAGCAACCGCGTCGCCGACCTGATCCAGAAAATCGCCTAGATGTGAGCAGAGAAAACGGCTGTGGGGGTGCAGTCCTCCACACCTGCTGTCGTTCATCACATGTCTGTCGCGCCACATGAGCCAGAACGCACGTGTGTACGATTATGCATGTGTATGTGTACGTGTACGCGAGAGAGAGAGAGAGAGAGAGAGAGAGAGAGAGAGAGAGAGAGTCAGGCTAAGCGGGATGACAACTTTGGATTGCTGATAGGCTGTCTCTTATACACATCTAGATGTGTATAAGAGACAGCACGTAGACAGGTATTGGACAATGTAATGACCATCTCTCAAGCACTGGAATGAATTAAAACCAATGGATCTAATTCAACAGTAATATTGATCGATTTTGAAAAGGGTTTACGACAGGGTTAACTGGGACTTTGTCCAAGAAACCATGAACCGGGTAGGATTTGGGTCAAACTTTATTACCTGGTTCAGATCTCTGTATAGTGGCTCCCAAGGCAGAGTTCTGGTCAATGGGTTTATCTCAAACCCTTTCACAGTATCAAGATCATTGAGGCAGGGATGCCCCTTAGCCCCCTCCCTCTTTGTCATTCAGATGGAAGTCTTGTTGAATATGGTCAGATCACACCAATCATACAAAGGTCTCCGAGTATCCAAATCCTTCGAGCTCAAAATGTCCGCGCTTGCAGACGATTTCTCAGCAGTTTCAGAGAACTCTGTGGAATCTCTTCAAGCGTTAAGACAATGCCTTACAATATATGAGGCAGCATCCGAGATGAAGGCCAACTGACATAAATTTGTTGCCATGACCCCAGACGGTAGCCCATTGGCAATCGACTGGGGCATCAAAGTTCTCCCAAACACAGACTAAGAGAGATACTTAGGTATCCTAATATCTTTCTCAGACTGCTCCAAATCACAAGATGTCATTATAGAAGAAAGAATCAGAAATTAATGCACACATTAGTCTAAGAAAAACTTCTTATCGCTGTTTGGTCGAGCAATAGTGACTAATGTTTCGATACTATCTACAATCTGGTACATCCTTTCGTTTAGAGAGTTATCTCAATCCTCAACTCAACTGATTCGTCAACTCATCTCCAGATTCATCTGGAAGGGGGACTCAGAAGTGTCCTCATGCGTATCCAAAATAGCATGGTGGAAAATTATTGAGAAGAAGAACGATGGGGGACTTGGGATCATTGACCCCGATACCCAGAACAGAGCACTACTAACGAAATGGGTTACTAGACTACTGACGCATCCAATTGACACTCCTTGGATTCAGTTAGCCATCTCCATCCTTATTCGTTATCCGACAACTCAGCATTACGGGATTGTCTGTTTCTCCCCTCACTTGCCAATAATACTAACTCTCCTACTTGGGGCCCAATACTCAAAGCATGGTCCAGTATGCATCCGACCACAATCAAGGAATGTACATCAGCAGAAAGGGTTCTCTCAATGCCCCTCTTTAAGAATCCTGCAATCCGAGGGCAGCTAGGGGCGGTATTTAGTCTCTCCTCATGGAAAGGTAACTTCGGACGCAAATGGCTCCAGAAGGGCATATGGAAAGTGAAACACATTTGGGACCGGAACCGGAGAGAGTGGAAGACCGCAAAGGTCCTTAAGCATAAACTCAGAGGCCTTTGAGGGATACCTACACATCTGAAGGCATTGATCTTGGTTGTTCCCCAACCATGGTTAACTATTGAGAACTCGGAGTGAGGACTGGCTAGAGGACACCTGGTGGTCGGATCCCCAATCAGAAGAACGAATATTGCATATCACAGACTCAAAGGCCGGAAATGGTCTGGAAGCGGAGGTCTGGATCAAGGAGTTGCCACCAAATTTTGTTAAGAGGGACATCACCTTCATACCCAGCTGCAGTATGGGCAAGCCTATCAGAGTAATCTCATTCCTCACTCAAGAAGGGACTCCGGTGGCCCAAGTTCTCGATAAGGCAACACAATTGGAGGACAACAGACCAGACTCATCTGACGTGGGATGGGCATTGGTTTCCGGGGTGCCAACACCCACCAAAATTTCAATCAGTGATTACAGACCAAAATTGGGGTACAAGCTACATTCGAAAGCTCCCTCTCTGAAAGCACAATCATGCTTATCGTGGAATAAGAGTTTCAACACTATGCCTTTTTTAACATTTGTGAATAAGTGGTTACCTTTCTATTGCCAGATGATTGCAGGTATCACAGAGGTCAAGATGGGAGGGCTGCAGTGGATGCATATGCATTCATGTGTGCCCACTGCAGAATGATGTTCAGGAAAAGGCATGATGGTAAGTATCTTTTGTGACCATTGCCCCTACCCAAGAGTGGAATCCTCTGCACACCTATGGTGGGAATGTGTGGTGGCCAGAGGTTTCTGGGAATGGTTACAAGACACATGGTTTAGAGGTTACGGGGATTCTAACTTATGGATTCAAGACTTTGTGATCTCTGGAGTTACTACTGTAATGAAAGGTAAGGCTGTGGCCTACAAATTCCGTGCGATAGCTTTCTGGATTCTTTGGCTAGCACGTAGGGATAGAAGGTTCTGCTCCAAACCTACCTGTCAGACTGTTATCAGGAACCAATTTCGGTGCCCTTCGATGATGGAGGCAGGATTGTTCTGTGGGGCTATTTTTCCAAAAAAGAGGTTGAGTGGGATGAACAAATGGTTGGATATCAAGCATCCTACTAGTAGGGGGCTAGCTTGTAGGATGGAAATAGGGTACAGCAGCAGTGGAGATGGTGGCTATGCTGCAGTAAGTCTTGCCGGAGTAAGGTAAAGAGGATATGATGGGGGGATCTTTGAGTTGTTTGTCGAAATTTGCCTATTTTGAAGCTTCTGTAGTAATTTTCACAGTACATCAAAAAAAAAAAAAAAAAAAAAAAAAAAAAAAGAAA